ACTTTTACCGATTTTACCGTTTTTTACTTAGTTTTTCTCGATTGCTGGAAAAACTATTTTGAGATTTTGGAAAAATAACATTTTTAAAGTAACATATCAGTCCAATTTCGAATCTAAAAAGTTGCTTGGCGTAACTTTTGAACCAGGATTTCTATACGAAAAAGTGTTTACAGAAAGAAAAAATAAATATCATTGTAAAACCATAAGATCTTTCGCATCACTCAGAATCTAAAATATATATACTTAACATAATTTACGATGAATTTGAAATAAAGTGATAAAAAAAAGCGGGTATTAAAGTATAATCCCGAAAGTTTAGACATGATATGATATGAAACGATATGATATTCGAAATAGTGAAAAAAAGCGGGAATTCTAATCGGACCAATAAGAGCAACCCGGTTCTGAGTGTACCCACATTTGCAAATTACGCAGCCAGGTAAACCTAAAAATCTTCCCTTCGACTAATTAGCCTACTACATTTATACTTAAAAATACTCGAAAAAGTCATACTGAAAAGAATCTACTCAATCATAAATATTCAAAAGACGATTTCAAACACTCAATATGGATTAAGAAAGAAACATTCAACCCTCCATCAAATCTATAGAATTGTAGATAACATCGCTTCTTCACTAGAAAGAAAACATTTCTGCTCGGCTGTATTTTTTAGCCTCCCAGGCATTTGATTGCGTGAGGCACAAAGGATTTCTCTACAAAACCCGATTTCTTCCTGCTCCTCTCTATCTTGCTCTTAACTCATATCTTTCTAATCGTACTTTCCAAGTGCGCTGTGAAGACAAACTCTCCGTAACTCATATTGCAAAAACAGAATTACTCCAAGGAAGCATTCTTGCTCCCACGCTTTATGATATTTACTATTCTGATATTCCTCACTCTAACCTTACTAGTCTAGCTACTTTTGTCGATGACATATGCGTAGCAACTTCTGACCTAGATGTATACATTGTAACGGAGAACTTTCAATTCTGTCTAATTGACCTTTAAAATTGGTTGAATCTATGGAAAATTAAAATTAATAAAAATAAATCATCACACATTACATTTACACTTCTACCCAATAACAGCCAATCGGTTACACTCTATAAAGAAACTATTCACAGAGAAAGTTCAGTAAAATATTTAGGTATTCATCAAGACCAAAGATTAACATGGGCCACTCACATCAAAACCAAAAGAAAATCAATGAAACTAAAACTATATAAACTATATAATTTCTCCGCTCTAAAATTTTACTTAGCGACAAAACTCTTGTATGCAAAATATTAATTCGTCCTGCATTGACATACGGAATTAAAATATGGTAATCGACTAAAATTCAAACTTAAATCTTCTCCAATTCTTTCAGTCGCTTAGTCTTCGCCTCCTAAAAATTTCACCTAGCAGCCACACAATCCATAAGGACCTAAACATTCCAACTCTTCACACCCTCGCTTCTGTACACTATAATAACTTTCATTCTAATACAACTAATCATTCAAACCTACTAATTTTAAACCTCTCCTTCTAAGACTCTTCTTAATAAGCCTCCACGTCGACTAAAACGAAATTGGCCTCGTGACTTACATCGCTAAATGAATAAATAAAAAAAAAAACAGTTTGAAGTAATGTCACTCATGCCTCCAAACCTTGTACAAAATTATCAAATTTATTTATTGTTTTATTATATTACAGATTGTAAATAAAAAAAAAATGATTCACGTAACAAGTGTTGTATATGGACTACGTAGAGTCGCAAAGAAGTAAAAATCAATTTCAAACAGTAGATAAAGTTATTTTGAATGTAAAAAAAATCAATATAGACCCATAGTAATTTACTTGTATTGAAAACAGAAACGCCAAACCTAACCTTACCTTCGAAGCCAATTCTCACTCGTAGGGAAAGTTGGATTGACGCGGTAGTTAATTCTTGCGAGAATTATGGAATAATACATCGTATCATATTGGATAGAAATGATGCAGTTTGTGTTCAGAAGTGAATTTAATAATTTTCCACCCAAGTGCAAAATTTAATTTACCGCTCCTATTCAGAAAAAAAAAACTTCTACATAATAAAATATCCTTAAATAAATTTACGCGTAAATAACATAATTTAAATCAATCAAATAGGTCAGACTTCCCAACCAGGATGCCGCAAAAATACTTAAAATATATATTTATTTTTAAACGCCTTCATGAAAAATATAGCACTGTGAGTAATAAAACAGACCAGTGGTGGACTGGTCCACCGGCATAACGGGAAAGTTCCCGGTGGGCCGGTAGTCGTATTATAACACTGGGCCGATGTACTTGGATTAAAAATTATTTTATTAAAATAATTAATTTAATTGTAAGATTGTGATAAAAACCCAGTGTAAACGTGATGTAAACAATTCTACGAGCACTTAATCCATGATTAAGGAGACTTTTATGGAAAATTATTATTATTAAATTGTAGGGCAGTCATACGGTAATTTCCCGGGCCGAAATTTTTAGCCAATCTGCCGCTGTAACAGACTATACTCTTGTCTATAGTATAAAACCTATTGTGTATAATTAATTAGGTATAAACAATATAATTTAATTAATTAATTATAAACACATAATTTTTACATTGTAATACTGAGATGTTCAATCTATTTTAATTTTCATACTGGCTCGATTGCTATTGATTTGATGTGAACTGTTTTAAAGTTATTTACCATGAAATACTTGTGACTTTATCTTATCTTTATTGTTTATTAATACTAAAAAAAAAACGGAATTTACAAAATATAAATTTAAATCAGAGGCGTATTAGGGGGCCCCGATGGGGAAAATCGCCCCCCCCCCTAGAATTTTTAGACCAAGACAATTTTTATATAAGTAATGGATATTTTATTAAGAAACAAAAATTACGATTTATTTTATAGTATTACTACATTTGAAAACGTTTAAAATTTTACACTAATTTAAATAACGTAAAATGCTATATTATTCATAACGTTTTAATTGTCAATAATGGTAAACGGAAAATTTTTTAAACGCTTAAATTGAATAACGTTTAAATTATTTATAGCGTTAAACGCTCAATTGCTTATAACGTTTATATGTCCCATAACGATAAATAATACATATTATTTTGGTTAAAGACCCAGTCCATACTTAGTGAAAAATTAGATAAAACACAAACAAAACTTTCAAAACACAGATAGGTGTTAAAAAAGAACTGCACAAAAGACCATTCTAAGTGAATCCGGCATTAGATTAAATAAAAAACCACAAATATCAAAGATTCACCTGGTATAAATATTACCAAAAATTTTACTTGTAAATTTTGAGCCCGAATTAAAGTAAAAATTTGAGTCCTTCCCTCCCTAGATGTAAGTCTTAATACGCCACTGATTTAAACATACGATATATTAGTATTGCGTATTCAGTATAAACTATAGAGTATAGGGCATAGGCTATAGGGTGCCTCTAAATTTTTAGAAAATAATAAAGGGTGTCTTGATCAAAAAAGGTTGGGAACCTCTGCCCTATGCGGCCACATAGTTCACTGAGTCTAAAAATCCGCTTTCTAAAGTTTTAGTCAAACTTTGGAAAATAAACCTCGACTATTGAAAAACTACAACAACAACATGTACTGTTAATGGATTCAGTTAAAATAGGTTAGGAAAATATTCAATGGAAAATATTCAGCCAAGTATTGGCAAAAATGTCCAAACTAACACGAATATATACTTTATGTTCCAATTGCTTTTTCAGTGCTTTGAGTCTCCATAAAGTTGAGAATGATCATTCAGAAACAGCTTCAATCATTTAATTATTACATTTTTGTAGTAAAATTATGGTTAAAAATTGGATACAAGATTTTACTTTGTAGACCACATATAAATAAAAAATGACTGAAAAATAATAAAATGTCATAAGTGTTACAAAATTGGATACTTCAACGAAATTTATTTAAACGATATTAGTTACTTAGTTAAAGACATTTCATAGTTTTGAATTCCTTTTTAATGAAGTTTATGCGGTTTATAGCAACTCGAAATTGTAGATATTTCTATGAAAAATGTACTCTACATAACATTTTCATTAAAACTTCATTGTTATATGTTTCGTTCTATTAAAGTTTCCTAAAATGGTTTAATACAAAATACTTTTTAATATGGTGCTCCTTGTTGGTTTTCTAAATCTCGTAGTAGCAGGGTTTTATAGTAAACACGTTCTTCTTTTTTCCTTTATACAAATTCCCAAATTTCCCAAATTTAATACAATTTTAAAATACTTTTTATTGCTAAACAAACATGGTTTTAAATAATAGTAATTTTATAATATTTTTATTACAACAATAAAATAAGAAAAGGATTTAATAAATATTCAAATATTTATGAACAGTTAAATAATACTATATTTATAATATTAATTACATATTGTAATATTTAAAATAATCATATATAATTATGTAATAATTTTTCCTTAATATACTATATACATGTTACAACGACAACGATAATAATATACACCTAATTCTATACATAATTTCAGTTTAAAAAAATAAGGAGATTAGAAATGAAACACAATCACATTAAGAATTAAAAAAGTGAGATTATACATTCTTGTAGTACTATATTATACAATTAAATTATCTAGAAAAAAATATTGTAAAATAACGAAAAAATCACAGAAGAGTAAAAGCAAAAAAAATTCATATATATATATATATATATATATATATATATTGAGTTTCATGATAATTTTAATACATACAACTGTATATACGAGTTATTTATAAACAATATGATTTAATACAACCAATATATTATCCATACAATAATAAGTTCAACTTTTAATTTCATATATTTTAAGAATAATGAGCACAAACCAAAGCATGACTCTGAGAGATATTGTAAATTGCATTTCTTTAATCTCAAAAATATAATTTAAAATATAATTAAATTGTATGAATATTATTATTTACACATATTGTATATTGTATAAAGATAAATGGAGAACAGTAATCATATACCGTGCACTTAATGGTTTATAATGTATATTAATTACATACATATTTTTATAAAAATATTTTATATTTCATTAGTTTCTTTAATCGAGGAAGACCGAACAAATCTAAGTAACAGATAATAATAAGGATTATAGATTTTATCATAAATTGCAATAACACAAAATAAAGGCTAGTTCGGTTATCCTTATTAATGGTAGTGTAAATTGTATGTGTTAATTATAAATTAATTAAGCACTTAACAAATCGCATGAACATTGTTTTATAAAATATCAACAAATGAAGCAAAATATTTGCACATATCTTAAAAATCATGCGCTATATAACTGTGATGAATTTATAAACCTAGTTTATAGTTTAATTACACTTTTTGTCCTTAGACCTAAATAAGACAATTAATAAAAATAATAATTAAAAAATTGGAGGGGATTTCTGAAAATATACAATAGTCAAAAAAAAATGTATAGAACATTAACCCACCAATGGTCACAATTAATCAACGGGAATAGGGAAATGGTGATATAGCTTACTACACATTTTATTAAAAAATTGTATCTTAAGTAAACTTGATTCATTTTATTAAATACATAATATTTCCTATATTATAGAACACATTCATAATATAGTACAGGCTGCCGAACAACAACTACTACTTGCACCTTTACTTTTCTGTCTTTGATCTAAAAAAAAAAAAACACATTGAATTGTTTTAAACACAATTAATAAAAAAATTTCTGTTAGTTTAAAGGAATAGTTATTATGGACGAAATTATTATATTTTTAAAGCAATAGCCAGTTAATAACATTTATTCAAATATTAAGAAGAATATTATATATATATATTAATGATGACCTAGGAAAATAGGGATTCATTTTTATATATTTATATATTTAGATAATATAATAATGTTATAAATATTAAAAATAAAATATGTTGTATATTTATTTTTACAATCGGAGATTATTTCCATGTCACCTAAAATTTTTTATGAAATTTTAAAATTTGTAATGTGTTAGATTTATATGTAAATATATGAATTCCCAAAAGTCCAGATTCCTATATCTTATATCAAATATAGATATAAACACTGTACACAAAATATTTGAATTAAAGGACAGGTGGATAAAAGTATTTGAATTTAAAATTATATAAATTGCAATTAACATATTGCGCACAATTAAATGATTGAAAATATTCCATAATATGTAATTCGACACTCCTTAATATTCATAAAGAAAAATTTTAACTGAAGTTTAGTAATTGATAGATTTAATGATTACTCAGAAATCTTAAATAATAATAAATTGATTAAAATAAATATAAAGTTCATTACACTAAAAAAAAAAAAAAATACTATAAAATTAAATTAAAATGATAATAAAATATCAATTACATGGATGATTAAGGATCTAAATAATTTTGAGGTTGGCTATCAACTAAGGAGTCTTGTTCAGATTGTGGATTAGAAGAGGAAGTAGTATGGGAAAACCACAACCAATGACCGGAAACCGTTCGACCATGCTGCTCACCTTGTGAATTAGGTTCGGGTAATGTTTCCCTTGGCACTAGATGCATAACAGTTGTACGGGCTGGCACGAGGCCTAAAGCACCCAATGTGACGTTGCTGTGCAAAAAACGACCCTGATATATCAGTCGGAGGATCTCAGCTTTTTCAACCGCTTCGTCCGCCCAATCTGCAATCACGAAAAAACGAATAAATAAAAATGAATATGTATGAAATACATAATATAGACAAAATATATTTTAATAATGTGTTATAACCATAAAACACTTATGAATTAAGAAAGGTAGTAAACTAACTATACAGATTGGGTTAAATACTACAACAAAAATTAATATAAAGCACAATGCAGACGACTAAAAAGTAAGTCATAGAAAAAACCGTTTTATTATACCTAATTTTCCTTTTTTTTTTTTATTTTTATATTCTATTAAGTTATATTTAATATTGCATAGTTTTTCATCAAGTCCAAAATGCATTTGATTGTAAGTAACAAGTTTTCAAAACTTCTGCGTGATAATATTTTACCTAAAGTAGTCTTCAGGGGGGACAAATAGGGCAACCGCATGGTTTTTTCTTCAAATTTTCATTATTTAATATTTATATCACACTAGGAAAATACATAAATGTGAATACATGTATAAAGTTCACCTCCAATTATAAAATAGTACTGAGCCATTGTAGAGTAGTAGGTGTCTAGTAAGATCAATTAACAATGTAAAAATAAGACGTACACATAAAAACAGAGCATAATTAAGTTATTTCCAAAACTCTAGTTTTGAATTTTTCAAAACAGATTGTGTCCTATATAATAAATGTATACATTAAACCTTACAATCTTAATATTTCTGAAATTAATTTTGAAATGCTTGCAAATATTTTAAAATACTTTAGAAACGAAATAAAATTGTAAGTAAATATACAGGATCAAGATCAAATAAACTGTATTAATTATCTTAGCATGAGTAAAAATAACATATTTTAATTTTATTTATCTGCTTATTGTATATGTACATTATAATGTGTCAATCAAGATTTATAATGATTTAATTATATTTTTAGAACAATATTCTTTAACAATATTATATCTATATTGGAGTTCCACGTTACATATATATATTACATTTTGTAGATGTAAAACAAAGTGAGAGAAAGTCTTAAAAACATGAGCGCTGGTCGACCGGGCCATTTACATGTTCTATAATACAGACCAATCAAAACATACATTTGAAGGAAGAACCTTTCACTAAAACGTTAATTAACACGATTTATAATTTCACAAATATATTTTAGATTCCTAGTAAAGCAAGAATTGTTTTATTTTTTTATTTTTTATACTTTGACAGGCAATAAATGTATTCCAAGTTTAATATACATAGATTTCAAATGATTTTAAATTGAATACAAAAACCGAAGATGATAAAACTGGCAACGTTCGGGTTTTCATATTTATCCTGACACAGAATAAACTTAAAACATGATGGTAACGATCAATTTCGTTTAGTAAGTTTATAATTATTTGAATAAAATAGGTAACAGTGTGTCAGTGTGTTTTTTAGCTGTCTTGTAACGGTTTTCCATATTATTTATTCATAAACAATATGATTCTATATAAATATTTTAAAACAAAAAACAATATTAATTTGACGACATGGTTCCTCGTAGATTGAATACCACGATAAAAGCAGAATTAATATTAACAAACTAATGTAACTATAGTTACAACCTGAAAAATTACATCTTGACAATATTTACTGTTAAGATAACCTAACGGAAGGGTATTTAAATTTAAATTATTATTGGTACATAATTAAATAATTTCAATACCTAAGTTAGGTAAGTATTTTCGTGAGTTGAATTAATTAATTATTCTATGAGTTAGTTTAGTATTTTAAGGATAGTTATAACTTATTCAAACACTGCAGATTGACCAGTTATAATTAGTTTCACAAAGAAAAAAAATTCAAAACCACTGGATTTAAAGCTGTGAGTCAAGGATATTATTATCCTGCGAAGAAAAAATAAAATAAATTATTTCGGAATGCGCGGTTTTCACGATGAAGACTATTTCATATTCAGTAAACGCTTACCGGCAGCTGAACAGACGGATCTGTATGAACTATATCTGTAGCAAGAAATTTTGTTTTTTGCCAAATTATCCATTTAATTATTTTATTGATATTTAAAACGGATTTAAATGTTTTACTGATTTTTTTATCGTAAATTTAAAAATGTTATTATACTTGATTTTATAAAAAAAATCAATATATAATAATGATTATGTCGAATGAAATGCAATTCAAATTTTGAAGTCGATTTCTATAAATAAACTAATTACGATATTATGTTAAGTGTGATTTTAATATTTTATTAGTGTAACAAAAACAAAAATCACTTCTTAGACGTAATGGAAAATCAGCAAAAACATTATTTATTGGCCATTATACTTATTAGAAAACCATAGTTGAAATTCACAGACAGATAATTCAGATAGTTATGTGCTATCAAAATAAACAATTTTGTGTAAAATTCATAAATATGGACTAAATATGGTTTTAACAAGGCGGCAGATAACTGAGTATATATATAAAAATAATCTATGGTTTTATTAAGAGCTACTAAGGCGATTATTAATGATTATTACTTCGACCAAGTGATTATGGTTAGTACCCTAGTTTACTAGAATTAACAGCGTATGGTTTACTTTTTAGAATTGTGTAAAAACTGAAGTCTATGAAATTAAATCTACATCAGTAAATGTTCTCATATACTTACTGAAAAAATTTAAAAAATCGTTAATCAGGATTTTATTTTATAAGCGTTTAAGTAAATTATTATAAGATTGTTACGGAATTTTCTTTTTTTTATAAAGGTGTTTAACTTTAAATCTTTATTAATATAAATTGGTCCATCCAATCAGAATGAAACATTGGATACAGATAGAACAACATGTTTTGAATATTTGGTTAAAAAAAATTTTAAATACACGGGCTTTAATATATTTTTGCCCCCGTGCCTGAGCTCCGTGTACCCATGTATTCTAATATCCGTTCACAACCTCTAGTTTTTGTATAATTATTCATAACTTGAACTGTAAAAACACAGAAACTCTAATATTTTCTAGATATACCAAATATCCATTTCAGTATTATCATCTGTGTAGTACTCAGTCTGTTACCCAACATTATAATCTGTATAACATCTTTACTTTCCTAATTTACCTTTCAATCTTGTTATTAGTTTTTTATAACACGACCTAACCGAAATAAAGACAACGTTTTCCTCGTATTAACTATCCACATTTTACTCTAGGTTTTACGACATCCTCAAACCAATTTTTTTTTACAATATTTATTCTGAAGGATGAAAATATCAATATCACTATAAAGAAGAAACACCATGAAAACGTAAAATTACATATTTCTCACTTCACTTACATTTTTAAAGTTCGAAATTAAAAAATAATATTTTTATTTTGTCTAAAACAAAACTATATACTAGGCCAAGTATAATAACTAGTATTATATTAGTATTATATAGTTATAATATTAAGTACTTAAATATTTACTATCAACATTTAATTTATAATATTCAACCTTTTATACAATGTGAAATATGAAATGTTGATAATGTTAAAATATAAATATTATACAAAAATAAAGAAATCATAAATATGCATAATAAGAAAAATAAAACGTATATAACGTAAAAAATGACGTGTTGTCTTTAAGTAAATAATTGCTTTTTCTTGCATCATTAACTCGATTAGTTATAACAATGAATTTCTTTTTATATGTTTTTGTTTTCAATATTTCAATAGGAACATTCACTTTTAAAAGAACGAATAAAAATGCATGTACTATGTTAAATTTAGTCTAACATACTACCATTAATACCATTAACCATTATTAACTTATAAAATGACGGAGTTTACAATAAATGGTTCACAAAACACAACAACAAGACAATGAACGTAAATTTAGGCTCAGATGTTAGAACCTGCAATGGATCTGGCCGTCAAAATATACACATTTATATAACTGAAAAAGGAAATATTTATTTATTGCTTACGTTTATATTAAACTGGTTTTAACATATTCATTATATTCTGTACTTATTACTCAATAATATTTTATTTCATGTTAACACAAGAGTTTGGATTTGAAAAATTAAAATTGTACACATATATAAACATAATACTAAACATGTATGACAAATATATTAAGCCATATAAATGTGTTTAAACTAGTTAAATGTGTAAAATAACTATCAAAATATATCAGTAACTAAAATAAAATAAAAAGTTACAGAAATATGATCTTGAATGATGAATGAAATATTTTTAAAATAATTATTTTATCGCCAAATTAACTATAGAATAAGTCTGATTTACTAGAACAGGGATCGTCAACAAGTCGATCTTTTTAGGATTACAGGTCGATCGTTGTAAAATAATCGGATTAATCGGATAATGGGAATATAAGATTATTATTATTATTATTATTATGAAAAAATAATAAATAATTATTTTTTGGAGCTTAAACCTTTATTATTTTTGTTCATCAAATATCTTCTTAAAGACCTAAATTCTCATGGATGTCGATTACCAGGGACTTAAATGTCAAATGTAGCTCTCTTGTTTGAAAAGGTTGGAGACCCCTGTACTAGATTAAGCATTAGATGGAGGATAGCAAATTATAGACAAAACAAAAATACAGTAATTACTAACAGTATATTACGGTTTTTACTAAATTTTTGAAGTACCTGGGTTAAGATAACTACTTCTATGTTCATACGGCGGGGATATTTAAATACTATCAGGCCTAATTAAATTGATGAACATTAGAAATTAATTTTTAATTGTTCTTTCTAATGAAATATGGATTTTACAATGAACAGAATAAAAAAGTAATTAAGATAAATCGCATTTGAAACTAAATTAACTAAATAAAAGTTCATTTTTATTACATTGAAATTAAATATTTGTAAATCAAAACAATCAAATACAACACAATCAATTCAAATACACGGAACAATAAATTGAGAAGCAATACAAATAAATAATATTTTATCATTAAAAAAGTATAAATAACCATGATTTTTTAATTTTACTTTAGATTATGTAAGCCATAAAATAACATTATTTACTTGAGTTAACTTTATTTTCATATTAATTAATAATAATAATTGCAAAGATCAACATTTTTTTTATTTACCATCTACTAAGAGGAAACAAAGAAAAAAATAAATTTATTTAATGTTACAAAATCAATTTTGTTCAACCGTAACTATTACTTATTTTAAATGGGCAATCTAAATAATATACATATTCATAAAATTTCTACTCACGAGATAGCATATAAGATAAACTATATACATTGGTAAAATAATCAATGATATCAAATTTGTTTACTATAAAATTTAATAACTATAAAAAATTATTATTAATATTTAGTGATGGAACTTGATTTTTCGGTGTTGAACCGAACATTGCCAAAGTATGTATTACGAACCCGAAACGAATCAAACCTACAATTATTCAAACAAACCCGAACTGAACTATAAAATTTTTTTTATCAAACTAAAATTCGAACTGAACTCATCATTTTTTTCTTTTATTAATAGATTGAAATTATGAAAAGTTGACTTACATTGTGCAAATGTGATACACTTAAAAATATTTAATAAATTATAATAATTATTTCTTAACAGCCAATGTTATTATTTCTGATAATATTTTTAAGAATATAGAATAAAAACAACATTTATATTTTTCCTTTTCACTTTTCCAAAAATAGATTTTTGGTTTTGATCATTTAATCTCACATCATATGAAAAATAATCTGTGATAATATTATCTATAGATATTAACAAAAACATGCTTCAACATGGAATTATTTTATTTTATCGTACCTAATAGTAATAATATATATATAGTTAATACTAATAAGATACTTAATATAAAGTATATTAAATTAATTTTAGATTGTTTGATCAAGAATATTTTCTAGTTCAAATTTCGAACATACTTAAATGGTAAATATTTATAGTCGATTTTCTATCATTTTGAGATCGGTTCAGTTCGACATTTGAACCTCCACAAATCGATGCCACTAATTAATATCAATTATTTATAGCTTAAATAAATAAAATTAAATTTAAAAAATTATAGCTAACTATAATTTGTAAATATTCATAAACAAACTACTAAGTTTTAAAATCAAATCAAATAAAATTTATATAAATCTGAATTTATTGCTAAACATATTTAATTACTTAAATATTAGATTATATACATAAAATGAAATATTTGAAATTTTCATTGAGTTTTGTTCAAATTTTTTTTTAAATATTTAAATAATAACTATGTTATTTAAATATATATATATATACATCCTTACCTTCTGGCCAATTATCAAATATTGCTTGAGCTATATCACCCGCTGAATCATTGGGGCTGAAAATGAATTCCTTAGTCTTACCACTGACAAGAATCAATCGAAGATTTATCTGCAACATAAATTATTATTGGCATTATTAAAGGAATAATTGTTTAAAATTTTCAACTATTTCGGTTTTGAAACTAAAAAACTTTTGTATCTAATAAATCTTCAGCATTAAGACCTCTCACTACAGATACTAGAACAACTACATTGTGATTAACATAAAAACGAATACATTTCTCTATATATATAAATTCAAATCCAATTCCTATACTTGTCTCCATTTTATGGCTTTGATTCTGAACAAGGACAATAAATACGGAAATTACAAAGTATCAATACATACATATGTGCGTCGAATTTAAAATAAGACTTTAATTACGAATTTCATAATATTGTATGAAAATAATACAGTGTTTATACCTAAAATAAAATAAAGCATTCATACACAAATCTATTTAAGTTTTATATTTAGAATAATATAAAAGAAATTAACCGTGTTTAATTATATCAAATTTCCTACATAAATAAATGTTTCAAAATAAAAATGTATTTTCTATTTTTTATTCTGATTTGTAACTTTAATTTTATTATAATCCGAGTAAAAATCTATTTTAATAAAAATATAGAAATATTGAGGAAATGACTTGATAAAACTATCCCATTAAATCCTGATTTAAAATATAATTTCACGGATAAAACATAATAACCCATAGAGTAAAATTAATAAATTTATGCTTCGTTAATTAATCTAGATAGTATGTTGATATTCAATTGTTGTTATTTCACGTAAATAGGACACATCTGCTGCAAAAAGGGTGGCCCTGCTAGTCAGAAATGGGTCACCGGGGCTCAGATCCAAGGCAAAAGGAAGGGAGAAAGAGAATGAAACCCACCGGGTGAAGGGCGCAATCGATATTCTGACGGTCCTGTGGTAAACTAAGAAACAAGAGAAGGGAAAAAACTGCTGATATCTAGCAGTTGACAAAATACCTTGCTCGCTATAAAGGTGTTTCAATTTATAACAAAAAGATATGATATAAAAGATATTGTTAAACAGTAAAATTATTTTAAAACTCAAAAATTAATTAAAAACTAATTTTTTTTTTTTTTTAAAAATAAAAGATTTCTTAACAGTTATAGTAAATTGTAATAATGTAATACATGAAAAGATATTGTAATTTTTAAGGTCTGAATTAAATCTGACAAAAATACCATGTAAATAATTTCAAAAAAACGTTCAATTAGTTAAAATTATAACTTTATAATTTATAGAAATATCAAATACAAAGAATATACCGTTATTAAGCTCTACATTTTAGATTATGGAGACCTGACCTGTCTAAAAAGTAATTTTCGTTATAACGTATAAACGTAAAAAATTGTTGCACGAAATAATTAATTTTAGTTACGCTAAATCATGAAAATAAAATGTCAAATTTATGATATAAAATTAGATTTATTATTTTAGTTTTTATTTATATAATAAATATATATAATATATAATATCAATCGACGATAGATAAATAAGAACTATTTTGCATTGTTAGCACTGATTTAAGTTGAACTTAAATTCAAATATTTACTTGTAAAATACAACGGCATATACAAATTAACCTAATATATATTATTAACGAAGTTAAATATTATATTAACAAGTTTACAAAAAATTAATAATTTTAACTTTCAAGAAAAGTGTAGTTATTTTGGATTTCATAATATATACTAAAAAAAAAATATATATGATTTAAAGTAAATCATTTAATTTGGCCGTCAAAATTATTTTAATATCATGCCTAAATCATTACACTTTTATTAAAATGTCGGTTACTGGGCCTACTAAAATTTGTAAAAACCAACCGATTTAAATTTATTGCAAAGCGGAATTAACTTTACATATCATTAATTTTATAATTATCACACATAATTATTGTTGAATAAATTAAAATTTTTTGATGGAAATTCGACCGTTAATTCTTTTTTAGACTTCACAATTTTAAATCTGTTTTCAAACTTTTTTTATCTATTAGTTCATTAAACTTAAATTCCAAATTATGGCGGAGATTCGTTTGTGCACAAAATTGTGAACAATGAAAACAAACTTATAGGTACAATTTTATATGTAAAGGGTGTCCGCATACTCTAAAAGTATAACGTTTGTTTTCAATCGTGGTTTCCCATTAGGTTAGGACAAAGTTGGTTTAGGTAGTTGCGAAAAAATAAAAGTTTATTAAATAAATGCTCGAAAAATGATTCTAAGATTGGAAGGTGGCTTAAATACTTTTTTGGTTTATTAAAATTATATTTAAACTTAAAATAATAAAATAATTTCAATAGCGCCATGTAACAAAAAGTATGGATTTTTCAGACTATATATTAAAAAAAATATATTGATTTTAGTGCTAGTTTTGGGCCAGAATTATGAGCTAGTGTACTAGAAATAGCCCAAAAATAACGAATGGTGGTGAACCTTGTCACATGTACTTCAATAGTCAATTTGCATACCTCCCATCCTTACATTCACTAAGTTATTTAAGTATTAATATAAATTCCAGTCGATATTGTATTAAAAATTAATTCAATAAAAAAAAAGAAAAGAAAATACCCGTAGAAAAGAAATATTAAAAATAAAATTATACGAAAAAAATATATTCAGATTTCGAATTTACAAAAATTTACATTTTAACATTTTTAATGCAAACACGTACCAATGAATAATAAATATGTAGGAACTTTATTTTAAAGAATTAATTATTATTAAACTGTTAATTATATAATTTATTGAATTATGCTAATGATTTGGTTTTAAAAATGATTGTAATTGTGATAAAAATTATTAATTTTTTAATCGATAAAACTGTAAATAATGGCTTAAGGAAGTTGAGATAAATTAAATAGCTCAAACAACATCTTTAAACCCGCCAGTCTATGATACCAGAATATGATTAGACAAAGAGTGTAAGGCCTTATAAAGGTCGAAATAAAATATTGTAAGAATATAATAATTTTTCACCATCAGTAATGACAAACTCGAAAACTTGGAGAGCTACGGAGGTTATGTATACCCTATACATGGTTAATTTTCTCTGAAAAAAGATTTCTATTGTTCGTAAATTGTACGCAAACGAGTTATGTTTTTGTGCGCGAATGACTACCAATCCTTTTAATTCATTTAATAATTTGATTGCACTATACCAGATTTTCTATATTACTCAACCTGGGAGTCGCGAACTAATTATTTAGGGTAACTATCATACGATTTAAATCGTTATAAAAAATAAAAAAAAATCTCAAATAATTAAATAAATTACAATATGTAATAGTACAAGGAATAATATATAAAAATATAATATATTATGTATAACAAGTTTAAATAAAACATGATATTACGAGTATATGATATGAATATATCTATAATGATTGTAAATTTTATTCGAGCTAGTATCATAAACACTCGCATTTTCAAAGTAATGTGTGAAGAAATGGGTTCAGGTTTTAAAAGTCTGCTATTACACACATATATTCAATGGTTGTCTCAAGAAAAAATGTAGGCCTGGTTATTCGAACTGAAAACAGAAGTAGAAATATTTTTGAAAGAAAAAATCACCACTTAGTGATTATTTCGAAAAAAATGTATGGTTAGCAAAACTTTCATATCATTCCTATATATTTTCAATTTTAAATGATTTAAATTTAAGTATGCAAGGACCACAAACTAATTTAATTATATCGTACAACAAAATTTAAGCACTTTTTAAAAAAAATTTCACTATAGACAAATCTAGTTAATAACGAGATATTTGATGTTTCCGAATATTTTTAATATGATCCAGGAAAATATATTAACAAAAAATGAAATGTGTGTTATAATTAAAGAACACTTATGCAAATTAAAAGAAAAATGCTGGAAATTTTAGCGACCATGAAAATTAGCTTAATAAACTTAATAAAGCCAATAATTGACGACATAATTTCCAACCAACAGCAACAACCAAGCCATTAAAAACCTTAATTGTATGATATCTTTTTTTTTTATAAAAAATAATTTTAATAATATATTTACTATTATTTATAGTACTTCTTTTATCTATACGAGTTTATAAAAATATATGAAAAGAGGTTCCTAAAAAATTAAAATTCAAAAAGGTGGGTCGCCACAGTAAAAAGGTTGAGAAATACTGCACTCTTCTTCTTCTTCCTCAGCTTATCGGTCCATTATATGCCAACACTGAACTATACTAATATTAATTTAATTCATTATTATATACCTACCTAATGATGAATTTTCAATTTGAAATTGGTCATACAATACAAATACAACAATACTCCAGGTTAAGCTTTTATTAATTTATTTTTATCCATTAACTATTTATTTATACATTAATTTATGAGTATTAACCATGCATTAATTTTTATTTTATTTTTTTTAATTTAATACTATTGGTAAACATATTAAAAGATAAAAAATATCTTCATAAAAACTCAAAATTTAAAAAACTTAGTTCCCCATTTGATTATTGTTTGATTGTTGAAAATTTCGGTGCTTTATTGATTTATTGATTTAAGTTTGAAAGTGACAAAGAAGGCCAACAGGTCAGATAAAAAGAAAAAATACTATAAAAGAACAATAAATTTGATAGGATATTAAAATATTATCAGGGATATTTTTAAATAAAAATTATTTAACAATTACACCAAGTTTACCTAAATATAAATAAATAAAAAGGACAAGATTCCACAGTCGGAGTTGATACATGAATGGAGGGAATAGCATTGCTGTATTGGTAATTTAAACTTGAAACCGATATGTTGTAACTCTCGATAAAGCTATTCTGAGCGACAGAGATCAATTAGATCAGAACAAATAGTATGGTACAGTGGTGTACATACAGGGGGAGAGGGTCCGTGTTCAAAATCCCCAAGGTCAAAATTGTTTTATTATTGATGACATGTAATATATTCGTAGTTTCATTATTACGCTTTGAACTTAAAATATACAACTATACAAATATTATGATAATTAAATAATTATATTGATAGGTGTTTGAAAAGTTTTGTTAACTGCTA